TGGGCCTCCCTGAACAACGCGAACCGCGACTGTTTGATTGTGTTGGGGTCCCCCACACCCACCCACCGATTGATTCAGCAGTTTTCTTTTGGGATATGTTTTTCTTGCCACTTGCATAACGTGGTGCCCCGAGTGAGTATGGTTGGGTGGGGAACCGCAAATCATGACCCGTCTCCGAGTTTGAGCATCAGCTTCCGCCTCCTGTGACGGACAAGAAGACCGGAAATTGTCTCGCCATCCAAACAACAGCAGTGGAGTACTTGAAAAGAGAGGGTCCGGTCCGCCCAGATTTTGTTTTTGTGTTTCCCTGCCGACTAATAACCTCCGCTGGCTACAGCAGTGCAAATCTCATGGCGCCTCAAGTACGGTTCCGTAGGGAATTGCAAATCACGACCCCTCCCCGACTTTGAGTAGCTTCCACCTCCTTCGGCGGATACGGCCGACGTCAAACCCTAGAATTCATGTCTTAATCGCCATGTCGCCATCCGCGACAGTTGGAGAGCGTCAAAAAAGAGGGTCCGCTCAGCCACCACAGAAAACCGTTTTTTTTCGATTCTTCTACGGCTAGATATCATGCTACGATGTATCGGGGATAGCTGTTAAGCTTGAGGGATAGGGCCTACGGCAGCATACTCTATGCGAGGAGAAGACGCCTTCCTCGCGTAACGATGCGCATCTCCCACCTCAAGCAGAATGAGGTACGTCATCATGATGTTCTTTCTTCTTGTGGCTACATGTTCAAGTTCGCCGGGGCGTTTCTTTTCTTGCCGAGAACGAGACTAAGCTTCTACTCCGTACGTACCAGTCGGTCCGTGTACCCGGCTACTGCATGTGAGGTGGTGGGTGCTGCCCCTGCTGTTTGCTGCGGTGCACGGAAAGATTCGAGTGGGTCGGAGAGGCAAGAACGCCTTGTGTCTTCACTTGTTTCTTCACTTGATTGATTCTTCAGGCTGCTATCATCTACTTTTTTGTTTCCTGTCGCTGGCGGTCTCTAGGTTGTGATCGCCCCTCGTTCTTGTTTGCAATAAACTGCGAGGATGTAACTGGCTGTGTCTGACCGTTTCTTGGGGTCCCCGCCCACGCACAACCCACCTGTCGGTATGATTCGTGGTCTCAATATTTTCAGCGGTGGTGGTCCACTACAGGACATGCGCTACTACTGCTGTGTCCATGGGTGGGTGCAAGATAAGAGCCCCGGGGACTGGTGGCCTTCTGACCTGATCGCGCAGAGAGACGTTCCTGCCACCACCACAATACGGCTCTTATTGTGCTGTGTCCATGACGGGGAACGCGTACTACGCCTATACTTTTCCCTCCCTTCCGTCCGGCTCGTTCGTTTCGGAGAGGAAACCTAGTGTGAAAAGTGCATCCTCTCTGGGGTCCGCATTCATATACAGTCCCTCCCGGATTCTTCCCAGCGTGGAGAGAGCGCGTTCTGGTGTGGTCTCCTTTGCATGCGGGTGTGACGTGCGTGCTGCATGTTGGTATGTAAACAACAGAACCAGATCAACGAGATGATTGGCGAGATTCTTCAAAGCATGCAGTCCCTCGCCACAAAAAAGTGCATACGCGTGGATGGGCATAATGAGAAGAAGTGCCGGTCGACGATCTGTTCGGGTGCCGTGAGGTCGCCTCTAAAATTCTTTCGCTTTTTTTGCTTCTTTGTCCAGTCAATGGTTCCTCTTATACCACACTGTAGGGAAAGAATAAACGGCCGCAGAGATATTGCTGTATTTCAGGCATATGTATGTTTTTTCGTTGTCTCCCATCATTGGACTCTGTCGGCTGCCCCTCTGGCCCCTATCCTCCACTTCTACCAGCTAGACGACCCAACCGGGGTCACATAGGAGGGGGGTGTTGGACCCCCTCCTGCGGTTCCTGCCTGAGATATTTCTATTGCGAGAAGGGTACAGCGATTCCTTCCCTCGCGTCTTGTGAAGCGTATCAAGTTTTTTAACAACGAGCTTTGCAGCGCGTCGCTTCCAACGAAGACCAAGTTTGAATTAGCGAGAAAAAACTCTCTGTCGCGACTCGAACCCATGACCTGGCCCTCAGCAGGCTGCGAGGCTACCCACTTGACCACCGGGGCGACCGGTTGCTGTATGCATGTACCTCGCAAAGGGTGTACAGGCGAGCGGAGGGTCGTAGACTAATCTGTCGTTCACTTGCGGACCCTTCGCGTCCATTTAATGTTCCGTTTAACTGGAGTTTGGAGGGTGTTCCTTATTTTTGTTATACATTATGCATGTGCCTGCAGTAGGTGAGATTATTTATCACAACCTATTAATGTTAGTCCACGACGACGAGGATGTTATCCGATACATTTGTTTTCGGGAAGCTATCGGTTCCAACGCCGCCTGGTCACGCTTTCTGTGGAGTAATCGAGCTTTGAAATTTAAGAATTGTTGAGAGGGTGTGATATCTCATGTCATCTACTCTGTGTACAGAACTCTTACTATTTTATCGTGCTCGGCGAGCGAGCGTGTCGCGGTGTGCGCCCTCGACATTATGAACCGATAAAAAACTGGAAAGCTTCAGACAGGCAAGGCGGCGATACTCGTCGAGTTGCTATCACAGTTGGTCATGCTGCTGCAATATTGTCTCCACGTATACAATCATCGTGGTTCCCCTCCACCCACACATCGTGACATGCACACAGCGTGGCACGCACACGCATAGTGGTTACGTCCTCAACAAGCGGGGACCCCTTCCCGGGCGTGCTAGTATCATTACGTGAGGTCCCCTGTTGCCCAGGTTCGATCGAGCGCCGTTGCGTCGATCACTGCCGCCATGTGCAGAAGCTATTCTAAAAAACTATCGCACCCCGGTGCCGTGGCCCGCACAATTTCGTGCACGGAATGCATACATCAACGACATTGATGGATGGATATGGATGGATATGGAGAGACTTGACGCAGCAGCACGTGGGGCGGAGTGACCATACAGAATGATCCTCCCCTAGGGGGTGATGCGACGGTAGGTGGGTCACCTCATCATACACTTATGGGTACGGAGATACCCTCCACGCCGGCCTGTTGGCCGCGTCGTATGATGTTTCGTTGCCGTAACAGGACTACACTTTCTCTCCGAAGAGTGTGAAAATTCGGAGTTTACCCCAAAAGTGCACCCCCCTGCCGTAACGTCACTCAAGTGGCAACTTCTTTCAAACAATTATCTGCCTGCCTCGTGAACGTGGAAATCATTTTGAGGCAGACATATCGTTCATGCGTGGAAGTAGACAGTCAATAGTAGCCGTTAGGTCGGACGCAGTTGACATTATTCTTGACTCACGTTTTATGAAAGTGCTGAGCCCCCGTTTTCTCTCGAAGTTGTCAGGGGACTCCTTCGTCTCTCTCTGTCCTCTTTTTTCTTGCGAGCTAATTCGCACGGCAGTTAACCAGGAACCCCAAGTCCGCCTCTTATGATTCTGCAAGCTTCGCTGTGTATGTACATCTTTTATGACGGATTGTTCGCGTTGGATTGGAAGTTACGGTACTTGTAACAGGCCAGCGAAAATCGAGTAGATTATCAAAAGGGCGGCATAGCCAAGTGGCAAGGCCGGGGGTTGTAAAATCCTCTCATCCCCAGTTCGATTCTGGGTGTCGCCATGGAGAATGATTGGACATTTGTAGTTTTGGCCCCATCTTGTGCGCGGTCGGAGTTTTGACCGATTCCAAGGTTTTGATACGATCGTTCTGCGTGGTAGTCGGGTCGGACAACAACAACCCATCATCCACGTCGAAGGATGATAGTTGTTTTACGTTTTGTCTTCAGTCGCTCGCTCACAATGTGACGTGCCCACTGTGATACTGGTACGTAAGATCTGGAGCAATGGAAGATGGTTTTGGCAGAGGCCGGGGATAAATATCGCGGGGCTCTTATATCTTGTAAACAGCGCGAGACGGCGTCGTGCTACATAGCGGAAAGCTGCTGATCAGCGGTGGCCTCCACATAGCTTAGCGCTTTTACCAGGGACACTCCAGAATTACCGACCGCATGTATACACGACACGCCGCCATGCTTCCAGCTGGCGCAAGTTAGTATGCTGAAACCACGCCACCAACTGCTGTTGCGTCACACAACGTCGGCATCCTCATGATGACACGCCCTCGAAACGCACGTGCGTCATGGTGCTTTCACGGCTGCTGTGCTTTCGTGACGGGACATCTTCGAACAAGACAGGCAGCAAATACCCGTAGGCAGGAGTGGTGGTGTCGGCAACATAGCATACAATGTACGCTACGCTTTGCGTCGGTGGCGGCAGGCCACCGGAAGCTGGATCCGTTGTAGAACTGCTGTGCACCGTAGGTGACATGACGGAAGATACCAAACCCCGTGGACCGATTGTCAGAGCCCGAGTACAGTCGACCTCGCTTTAAGGACACCCATTGTTTTTTTTGTAAGTGTCCTTCACGGGGGGAAATGTCCGTAAATTGTTAACTCCGTTTTTTTTTTTTCGGCGGTAACCATAATGGTGGTCGAGGAGATCATGTTGTGCGGGGTGAACCCTCACTCCGAGCAAGGGGGATGATCGCACCACGTTGTGTCAAAATGGACAAGCACCCCCGAGGCAGTTACACAGTGCTTACAACTGTCTCTGGAAGTGAAAGCACCAGAAAGTAAATTAAGTCATACGCAGCTGTCATCCGTACGCAAGGAAGTAAGCACAAGATGCCGAAAACCCTTAGCAGGATGCAGCGCACCCTTCATGCGACTCGCCGAATATCTCACGGCGCTTCGCGCTTGGTGATGTGAGAGCCTGGTCCGGTGAGAACCCGGCGTGCTCCGTCCCGGCTTTGTAGGGATGCGAGGTCAATGGTCTAACGACTACGGCATGCACGACTATGAGTACCCCCCCTTCCCCCCCCCCCCTCATGAGAATATTGTTGTCCTTAAAGCGGTGAGTTGACTTTAAATAGAGTGTCCTTAAAGCGGGGACGACTGTACTCCACGACGAAGAGGGTGCCGAATCATACGACACTTTTCGGAAGACTCTGGACAAGACGGTTCCGAGGCTGCCTCACGGCGCAGTCGCTGCTTTTTCTGCCGAGCAATTGAGTTTTGAAAAGCATTTCATGGGGTGTGATATCGTACGCACCGAGGCACGTAGCCACTGCCTAGAGATCCTCTCGCGGAAAAAAACACTTCACGCAGACTTCGTTCATGTACGTTGGAGAGGCTTGTTGGTCCTGCGTGATCCAAGACCGGAGCTCTCCCAGCCGCAGAGGCAAGACTGAGCAGTAACAAACAGAAAAGGGTAAATGGAGACAACGTGCAACGACGAGGCCGAAACGAAAGCCTACGACGTTTATCACTTGTCGGAAAAGAAGATCGAGAGAAAAACTCTTACGCAGAGAATCGTGTGTACTTGGATACATCCGGCCATTGATGGACCCATTAACCCCGTTGTAGTGGTCACGTGGTGGGCACACCATGATGTGACCTTCGAACGTTGCGCGTAAGGTGCGCACATCGACCGCAACGAGCACCACCCCAAAACAACGAAAATATGAGAAACAAGAACATTGATATTACCAAGGAGGCGTACAACACTGAATCACAAACGACGTCGTCAGTGTCGTATGCAGCGTAGACAAAATTGTATCTACTGTGAGGGAAAACATCCCTTTCGTTGCGCCGTAAGAGGCGGTGTGTCCTCTCGTCCAGCACGGCGTTTCAGTGCCCGTGTGCGGCCGGCGCACATGGCAGACATAGGGGAACCTCGTCAGCGGTCCCCTCCCCACAGCCATGGAGCCTTGACTCTCAACTCTTCCTCTGACACCTGTCGCGGTGACAGTAGGTAGCACCAGACGCAGCAACAGAGGGGGCAGGGAAGGGCCTTCTAAAAAAATATGAGGGCACACAATGATTTGAAGGGAACGACAACAGCACACCCTCACCAACCATTGACCAGCAACTTACATAGCGACAGGGAACAAGGGGGGAGGGAGGGGGGGCTTGAAGAAGTCAACGGGACACATTGCCGTGAAAATAACGACGGCAGCATTCGTCACGGCTTACCGACTTGCTACATTATTGCCTGCTGAAGCATCTGTAGCAGTAGTAACCGCAGCAGCGGCAGCAGCAGCGCTGTTCTTGATGCGGCGGCGGAGTACGAAACAAGAACCCCCCGCTCCCCCCAAAAGCCTAAAAGATATCATCGGTGTCAAGCCCCTAGAGAAACAAAACGGCTTCGCTACATGCGCGAGCTAGCTCGCCGATGGCACTGGTGTAAGCATAAGGCAAGACACGACCTGCCTCATGCTTCAGGCACGGACACGGGGTAATATTATTGTAAATTATGAGTATTATTGTTAATTAGGCGAGGCACACAGCAAAATGCTCACGTCGCAGACCACTGCGTCGACGGTGTCCAGCTCGGCCGAGCCGACCCCCTCTTCTCTCGCAGTGTCCGACTGTACGAAGACGGTGGACATCCCCAGCGACTTGGCCGTCATGAGGTTCTTGAAGGAGTCCTCGAACATCACTTCGTAGTTGCCATTGTTGTTTTGTTGTTCATGTACGCGAGCCATGCGTCGAACGAGATTGCACACACACACACATACACGCGCGCGCGAACCAGTTAATGGCATTTAGAAGTGGTCTTGGTTTCACCCGCATTGAGACTGACATATTTTCATTGGTCAGCCGGTTAGCGCGGTCGATGCTAACAATCAAAACACACACAAGAACCTAAAAACACGCACGTGAACCACCCGGCCAAGAAACCGAAGGGGCGGCACACGGGGCAACGCGCAAAGCAACGGGCACTGAGAACAGACAGGGTAAGCAGCAACGGGTCTCTTCAAAGCAACGCACAACAAAGGTGGTGCTAATGAACGCGGGCGAACGCACAGACAGGTGTGTGCGAACGAGTACTCAAGAACGCGTGCTCCACGGCAAGGAGGCGCCTGCCAAGAAAAGCTGATTAAGATGTTGGGAGTGGACGGAGATAAGAAACAAGAGTTTCGAGCGAACCAGTTTGTGTACTCTCCACTGAAGAGGCTGGAGCTCGAAATCCCTTGCCCAGATTTTTCTGCCTGCTTACCGCGACATGGTTCCCACCTAGTTCGGTTGCCCAGTGCTTCATGTCGCCGCTAACTACTGCTCGATCCCTTCCCCTCCATGTGTTTTTCGAAAGATTTCTTGGCGGCCTCTTGGATTGTAGAGCAAGCAAGATTCTTCCCAAACCAATACCATTGGCTTCTTGGGGCGGTCCTATTGATCGTTGAAAAATCGATCGCATACTTTTAATACCTGTCTTCTTCCTTCACCCGTTTGTTGTTGTTCGGAACCTCGAGGGTCTCTTGTCTCACCGAAGAAACGCGACACCCAACACAGTACCCAAGAAAAAGAAGAGGTGAGTGTCTCATTCCAATCGCAAACAACATGCCTGTCAAGGCCAGCTGCTGTTTTGACGTTTGCCTGTGACATGTCGTCACGGGCCAGGAGCTAATTCGGTCCAGTCCCCGGACATGACGGAGTACAGACTGAAGAAGGAGCAGGAGCACTGAGAACAACGATACCCATAACGACACCAACACCAACATTAGTAACAACAGCAACCGCAACACCAGCAGAAGAAGCGGCAACACTCCCCTGCTGTACCTGTCTTGATAGGGTCCGCTCCCACCGACTGGAGGACTCCTTCGAAAGCCGCCTTGTCGGGCTTGCACGTCTCCCCCATGGCCTTGGCTCCGATGACGCCTTTGAAGTGATGCCGGATCCCCAGTAGCGCCAAGGCCTCCTGCTCCGAGATTAGAACCAAATAGGTCATCATGCATGGGTCATGCGTGTGTGTGTGTTCGTCCCATGTGTTCTGGCGCCGGCTTACAGGCCTTTCGGCATATATTTTGTTTTGTTTTTCTCCCATTATTGGACTCTGTCGTCTGCCCCTCTGGCCCCAATCCTCCCCTTCTACCAGCGAGACGACCCAACCGGGGTCACATAGGAGGGGGGAGCTGGACCCCCTACTGCGGTTCGTGCCTGAGATATTTTTATCGCGAGAAGGGTCCAGAAATCCCTTCCCTCGCGACTTATGAAGTCGATCGGCTTTACTAACAACGAGCTTTGCAGCGCGTCGCTTCCAACTTAGACCAGGATTTAATTAGCGAGAAAAATCTCTCTCTGCCGGGACTCGAACCCATAAGCTGGCCCTTAGTGGGCTGGGAGGGTACCGTATCAGCCGGGTCACACAAGAGGAAGGTCACACAACAGATTTTTCACACTTTTCGTTTTGTTTTATTACTTTCCCCGACGGCGCTTACCTTAGTTTTTATCGCGAGAAGGGTTCAGCCACCCCTTTCCCTCGTCGACCGTGTGCGTGTGTTTTTCTCATTAGCATCGACCGCGCTAACCGGCTGACCAATGAAAAGAGATCAGTCTCGGTGCGATATAGAACACAAGACTCTTCAATAGGCCAAGATCTGGGATCCTGACACCGAGCGCCATGAGGAATCTACGCTACTCTCCGGATGAAAAGACAGATGCCGTTGCAATATCAGAAGAAACTGCACGTGTTTGCTACGGATATGCGTGCGTTTTGGTGTGTGTGTGAGAAAGGGAGAAAGAGGAGAGAGAGAGAGAGAGACGATAGAAAACACAAGACTCTTCAATAGGCCAAGATTTGGGATCCTGCCACCGAGCGCCATGAGGAATCTACGCTACTCTCCGGATGAAAAGACAGATGCCGTTGCAATATCAGAAGAAACTGCACGTGTTTGCTACGGATATGCGTGCGTTTTGGTGTGTGTGTGAGAAAGGGAGAAAGAGGAGAGAGAGAGAGAGAGACGATAGAAAACACAAGACTCTTCAATAGGCCAAGATTTGGGATCCTGCCACCGAGCGCCATGAGGAATCTACGCTACTCTCCGGATGAAAAGACAGATGCCGTTGCAATATCAGAAGAAACTGCACGTGTTTGCTACGGATATGCGTGCGTTTTGGTGTGTGTGTGAGAAAGGGAGAAAGAGGAGAGAGAGAGAGAGAGACGATAGAAAACACAAGACTCTTCAATAGGCCAAGATTTGGGATCCTGCCACCGAGCGCCATGAGGAATCTACGCTACTCTCCGGATGAAAAGACAGATGCCGTTGCAATATCAGAAGAAACTGCACGTGTTTGCTACGGATATGCGTGCGTTTTGGTGTGTGTGTGAGAAAGGGAGAGCGAGCGAGGGAGAGAGAGAGAGAGAAGAGAGAGAGAGAGAGAAGAGAGAGAGAGAGAGAAGAGAGAGAGAGAGAGAGACTCGTCGAAGAAAATATCCAACACCCGCAACACGAGAAACAAAGGGGGCGGAAACCAACGCCCATGTGATCAAACACGATCACATCGTCCGCCAAAAAAAACACTGAACACACAGAAAAAACGATTACCTCAGCCTCGACTTCGTTGCAGTTGGTGAACACGTACTTGTCCTTCTGGGGCAGCTTCTCGAGCGCCGATTTTACCCCCGGCGGTGCCTCCTTGATGAAGTCCGCGGCGCCGGCCCTGACGCTAGTCCAGAAGTCCTCCAGGTCGAACTCGTAGCCGCCTCCTACCCTGCGCATGCATAATCAAGCCCCCCGATACAAGCACAGAGAAAAGACAACGGTCGAAACAAAACGTGGGTAGTATTTAAGCATGCATGTAAGTATAGGTGCCACGAGACACCACACCCCCGCATCGATTTTCAAAGCTCGAGTGGTCCACGAAATGAAAAGGATGCTACGTTTTCGGAAAAGCTTCTCGGCGAGTCGGTTCCAACACCTACGCTTTCGGATTTCGACGCCATGACTTTTCTGTTGCTGTGGAGTAACCGAGCTGTAGAAAATTTGTCCGCGGGGTGTGGTGTCCTACGTTACCCACGATACTTACAGCAGTGCCAGGGTCTGCAGTCAAGTGCCTGCTGGCCGTGTAATCGCACCACGCAGATGGCTGATTTTTCTCCTCCGGAATCATCGCAATATCAAGGAAATGCCTGCTGTAGTACGTAGGAGGAGTTGCGCAATGATGCATGTGCCGGGGTAAAATCACGCGACACAGATGGAATGTTCAAGTTGTTTCATGCTGTTAATACTGCCGGTTGCCCGCTATATAACGCCGGTTCAAGGGTTGGCACCTCGAGTATGTACTCACCGTAATCCCTTTGCCGATTGGTTGTACTTCTGAAAAAGCGGCCTCCACACCTTCTCCGGGTCCTCTATCCCCAGCTTGTCGCTCATGAACCGCCACATATTTTGCCGCTTTGTAACATTTTTTTTTTCAGATGAAACGTGCGAGAAACGGATCAACCAAATAAAATAAACAGCACAAGGAGTACCAGTGAGCGTTCCAATCTAAGGGGTGGGGGTGCTGCCGACCCACTCACCACAGGTCTTGACACCATGTCGGTTAAACCAACGATAAAAATTCCTGCTTTATCATCCGATGGGTGGGAAAACCACCTATCCGTCGACGCATGCATACTCTCAGGGAGAAGCCGATGTTTTTTTCTTTTTCGGGGTAAGGCGATCGGAATGAGCTCTTCGCTTGAAACAGACAAACGAGGTACCCGTTGGAAACTGAACAAAAACATTCGCTCATAACTAAACAGCTTTTCTAGCATGTACAGCAATGTAGTGGCCTCTGCATAAGGCTGAACAAACAAGGCTGGTCGCCCGGTATAAGATCGGCGACATCCCTTGGCATTACCGTACGCGACACAAGATAACACCCCCCGGACCGAGTTTCAAAGCTCGATTACTCTACGACGAAGAGGACGCATAAACGAGCCGATATGTTTTCAAAGAGCTGTCGACCAGACGGCTTCCGGACTATCGTTTTGGGCGCTGCAACTATTTATGCTGTTGACAAATCGAGCTTTGAAAATCGGTCCATTGGGTGTGCTATCTTGTGTCGCATACGGTATGCGACCTTGTACAGGGACCACTTTACGGTACAATGCAGGCGCTCTATGTACACACACACAAACGTACAGTTTTTCTTCTGTTGCTGCCTTTTCTGTCTCTCTTCCGGAGAAGTCTCCCCCATGCCGCCCCCTCACGGGGTCCCAGTTTATGGCATTTAGAAGTGCTTTGTGTTTTCAACCGCACTGAAACTAACTTCTCCACATTGGTCAGCCGGTTAGCGCGGTCTATGCTGTACATACACAAACAATCCAAAACTTGCCGACGTATTCGTTTGCTGGTGCCGACTCACTCACTCACCACATGGGTGTGGTACCCGTTGTCCAAGGGATAGAGCGTGCCGTCGAGATCGAAAATAAGGGTTTCCATCTCTTGCTGCTTCAGTCAAAACCTCCAAAACCTTTAAAAAGGGAAAAAGGTAACAAAAACAAGAAGAAAAAAGCGACAAGAGGAAAAGAGGAACAAAGGAACACAGGAACACAGGAAAAAAGGAAAAAGAAAAAAGGAAAACAAGCACACAAAGTCATCCTTCAGTCGGCTATGTGGCGTAGTCGGCGCTGCAGTCTTTGTCCCAGTTGAGCGGTTACCTGTTTAGCGGGATGCCCCTGAATAGAGATTCTAAAACCTCGTGGCATGGCTGCAACCCGGTCGTCAACCGCTGAACCGTTCTTATCCTCAATAGCGGTGTTCGAATCAAAATTTGGGGAGACGCCGCCCGCGCTTGCGCTTGCACACACAACGGTTAGGCACGCACACACGCTTACCATGCGGTGTGCTGATGGATGGAGGGTTGTCCAGGTTTCCAGAATTCAAGCGGGGCACACAAGTGTCAAAGTGGTTTGTGGTGGCCGTAAGCACGGCGCGTGTGGGGAGGTGGAGGATCCGGATGGCAGCGAGACGCACCGCCGCATTTGCCACTCATGTGCTAACCGAGACCGCAGACTTCCCCACTCGTCTCGAATCCACCCCAAGCGCCAAGAGGTGTTGGCGTTCTAGCACCAGATGCGCGGGAGAATTTCGCTCGCTCTACAGCTGCACGGCAGCCCTGCCCGCGGCTCGAGTGTGGCCACGAGCTTGAGGTTCCGAAGAACTTTGAGCCTCAAAATTTTCGAAATCGAAGAACTCACCCTTAACAACAGGTGCTCAGTGAAGAAGCCTACGCTACTACCTATATTGTCGCCGTAGGGACAGCCAAAAAAACACGAAGTTGTAAGCCTCGGAAAAAATAAAGGTTCTTATGTGCTTTTACCCTAACTGTGGTATGTGGAGTGGTCGTATGTCGGTCAGGCGGCGGCGTTGGTCTAACCGCTGAGGAATGCGAAACATAAGCGTACGCCTCCACCCCACCCCCTCCCTCCGGCACTGCACCATTGCACCAACCCCCCGCGAGCGATGACGTGCATGGGCTGGCTCGAGTGGCCCGCTTTGTCTTGTGTTGTTTTGTGTTGTTCTTTTTGTTTGTTTGTTGTTTGTCGCTACGGCGTGTGCCTTTCTCTGTCTGCGTTTTTCTCTTTCCCTTTGCTTCTCTCCATCTGCTCTCTTCCTTTCTATTTCATTTTCTTTTTCTTTTTCTCTTTCTCTTTCTCTTTTTACTTTTTTTATCTTTTTCCAATCTAGGGTTACCTCGCATATAGTGCAGGGAGGCGAGCGGAGTGGCCTAGACATCTGTCGTTGACTTTTATTGGCTTGCGAACCCTTCGGATGCATTTTATTTTCGTATACCTTTTTTTGGGTAAGTTAGCCTGTGACCACGGGAATCGACCCCGTCAAGTGTTAGACGAGTAGACTACGGGCAGAAGAAGGTACTATTAATAGGCAGAGAGAACGGAACGGTTTTTAATGTGAAGACAACAACAACAACAACAACAACAACAACAACAACAACAACAACAACAACAACAACAACAACAACAACAACCCTTGGGCAGGTCAGGTGTTTTTCTTTTTATGGTGAGAGGTGTACTCATGGTGAGGGTGGGGGGCGGAAATCGTTTCATTTTTTTATTTCATCAGTAGTATGACCACAACGAATCCATCTCTATCGAAGAAAAGAGTCTCATAAGGTCAAATATTTTTATTATTTTTCAATAATATTCCATACCGTAGAGTTTTTGGTGGGCGGGGGGATCCAACAAAAGTACGTACTTGTAGTTGCATGGAGAGGCATTGTGACGAACAGCATCACAGACGCTCGCACAATACGAAGCGATCGGCACACCGTGGGGACGGAAAAGTGCCAAATTTACCAAACTGCGGTGGTGCTGCTCGTGCCGTCGCTGCTGTGTTGCAAAAAAAATGCGCACACACCAGCCCCCGACGAGTGTGTGTCAGACGCGCTCGCGTTTCCCACGGAGAGACAGATACGCACACCTTCCTTCTCCCTGAAGGTGGCTGGGGACGCTGTTCGGTGCTCCAGTTGTCGGATATTGGCTCCACTACTCCGGCGGTGGCGCGTGCGCGCGCTTGCGTGTGAGTACAAGTACTGCTGTAGGAGGATGGCGATGGCACGGGACTGTAAAAAAATGTCCCATTTCGGTCCAATTTGCGGCGTAATACCAAAGCTTCTGGCATACGGTATAATAGTCTTTTTTTGTTTTCGTCTCTCCCTTCGTCCCCTCGCTTCTCGACAAGCTTTTGCTTAGACATGGGTTGTAGCGAAGGGGGGGGTCTTTCTGGCGAGCAGAGGTAGACTCACCCTCAAGGGATAACCGAAACCTTCTTGCTGCTGCGCATCCACCGCGAGGCGTGCGTGTGGTGGTGGAGTTGGGTCGGCACTGATGGGGTCAGGCGGGAAAATGTCGATGCGCGGGCCTTTCTGGCCGTCGGCGTTGGCAGTGATGCCCATCTCATTTTTGTGCGCGGAGGCAGACACCATCAGAAAGGTGGACGGGCACTACACGGCCCTAGGTTTGCTAGAGGGAGCTGTATTGCCTCAGTAACCTGGCTTCGCCGTCACAGGAGGAGGGATCAGGTGGCAACGAGCTGAACTAGGCTGGTTGACCATTCGGCGCGAGAATTGTTATTTTTTTCAGACCAAGAACCTTGAGTGCAATGAGGGAGAAAGCGAGGAACGGACTGGGAAGGACAGCAACGAGAGCGTGTACGGACGGAGCAGGTCGAGTGTCGTTTTGCTCGGGCTGACTACAGCGGCGCCGGATGGAGCAATGGCACCGGAGCATGCGGGCGACATCGACCCGTGGCGCACGGACAAACATACCTGTGTTATCATTTTTTTTTCGTTTTTTTTCTGACTTTCCGTGTTTGTTTTGTGTGATGACGTCGTCACCGGTGTTGTAGAGAGGCCCGTCAGAGATGGCGCGGCCAACCCGGGTGCCTTGGTTATGTGCCTGATCGTGGAAGACCCCTTCAATGTGGAACGATTCTTACCTAGTGTCGATATTTTCACTGCAGTCCCTACACAGACGATCGGGAGAGATTCGGGTGATTGTCAATTGCTGCTATGATGGCTTTGGTTGGTTGTTCTTTTTCACTGTACGGCCGCAGACACATTCTGACAGCACTTCAGACAGCAGCTTTGTGCCCCGCCAGCT